TTTGTAGTGAGTCACGTAGGTACGTGTCACTTGTTGTATGACAAATATATGTGGTATATATTTATGCATACTTTTCACGAGTTCTTCATTTTTCTGACTGTAAATGCCGTGCATTGAATTTAACAGAAATGTGAACGAGAGACGTTATTATCTTTGACCCATCAAATGAATGGAGTCATTTATTTTCAGAATCAAAGTTTAACATCAAACCTTTACATTAATTTGGCAAAATATGAAAATAATAACAGACAGTTTCACAGAAAATGAACTTCAAATCACTCGGCGGTGATTTGAGGACTTTGCTTCAGATATTTCTAAAAATATCTGTACTGATTTATGAGAGAGAGGTGAGTTTAAGAGGAAACTGAGATTTATCTTAAAGAGGAATATGTGAGGGAATTTAATCTGTTTGACCAGAAATTGCACGCTCCGTCAGATCTCAGCTTTGCCCACGGTACACTTGGTCGAAGAAGAACTTTTACCTTGTTGAAGTTCATCAGCTCAGTAAGAATCCTTCAGACTCTTTTTCAGCGTCTCCGTTGAGAACTGCTAAAATCCTTAGAGAGTCGTGCGTGGTTAGTTCAAACAGAATCATAATTCCAAAACGTCTCTGGATTCTCGGCAACTCTGACTCTTCATTGTCAGCAGCTCTCAGACTCTTTCAGATCTTCTCAGACTCCAAAACTCTCCATAACTCTAGTTCTCTTCTGAACTCCTTGAGAACTTTTTCATTCTCGGAATCTTTTCCATTCTCTTCTAACATGAACTGGGAAGTTGCCACATTTTATTTGGGTCGACTTCCGGTTCAATTTAGAGCTTTCTGATTCGTGGATGTACCAGAAAGAGGTGTGGTTTTTTGACGTAAGTTATTATCAAAAGTCAAGGATTGTTTTCAACATACAGAAAAGATTATTGCAGTCGACCAGACTTCGTGGAGTCTCACACTTGGTAATCTTTTCAAATAGTAAAACATGACATTTCTTCTTCAGTAAACATTTAGTTGACCGAAGCTTCAACTTTCACACACTTACGACTTGGCTCATTTCAGACAGAAAATCAAGAAATGCATATTCAGGTGATTTCTTCTTTGAATGAGGAATAAAATCATTACTTACTGTTTATGAAAAATAAAAATGAGTAGTTCTTTTCAACCTGTAAGCATTGAGTGAAACTAACACAATTTGATTATCAAACATTTGTAAAACAGTAATGATTATAGAGGATTGTCTTTTCTGCTTGATTAATTCAAGAAAGAAAGTCATCAGATGGCCCAGACTTATTCAGATCAATGAAAATAACAGTCTCTGTCCATCTGGTAGATTTGAGGTCAGATCATCAGGTCATCTAGTTCACTACATATTGTTTTAAATTTTAGCTGAAATATATATATTTTTTAAAGTGCAAATCCTCAAATGGTACATTACCAAAATGAGTTTCACATATTTTCTTGTTAAAAAACAAAGTAAGAAATCAGTGGCAGTATGTCTAGAGTTAAAAATATACAATGAAAGAAAACATGTCATAGTTATTTTCTTTTTAAATATCCATACCTCTTCAACCTCCTTCTCTTAAATCTTCCCAGGGTTGCTGGAGGACACTCCGTCAGGTGTGGACCCAAATGCAGAGTGCTGCGATGTGCGGTGGGACTCAAAAGTGGACAACCAATCCAGGGGAACCCTAAAAAGGACTCACCCACCATGCCAGCATCGAACCTCGCTGAGCTCCTCGGCAGCCTGCAGACTGTGTAACAGCCGGCTCAAACTTTGCCTGCTGGTCCTTGTACTTTTGCACACTGTTGCCAGCCTCACTGCATCCCACAATGCAACGGGACTGGGCCTCCCCACCATCGCGCCACTGGAGGATAGCCCTGCCAATGAGGAGTGACAGAGCTGCCAGGCAGGATGATAGTTTGTAGGAATGGCGGATTGGGGGGGGGGGGGGGGAATTCCCTCGCCATGGCAACCATTGTGGAAAAATACTGCAACGGTTGTGCAAACGGCTGGAGCTGTGTGCCTGCAGACATTCAGCAACACAAAGAGAAAACGTGGGACGCTTTGAGACGATGGACGCTTAAATCAATCAAAACAAAGAAGCAACTTAGACTTACACAAACTGAGGGGTTAAATCAGCCCCTTGGTAGGAAAAGGGACAATGCCACCGCCTTTGTTGAGAGGGGAGGTCAGCTTCCTTGTGGCTGAGTTTCTCTAATTCGCTTTTTTACACTGTGTTCCAATTATTGGTTTCTGTTGCACTGGCTGACTATGAAATAACACAATCATATTCTCCTTCTAATATTCATATTCGTCTTTGTTTCTGAGTCCTTCAGACGGGAACAAAATGTGTCCTCTAAGTAAGACAGAAAATGTGAAGGAAAAAAAAATTAGCTGCAGATTTGTGTATGTGTCTTTACACGTGTGCGTGTCTGTGAGAGAGTGAGCGCATGTCGCCATCTTAAAAATCTACCTAAAACTGGAGCCGCCGATTTTCCAGAGAGCCCCTGAGAGTCCAATCAGCTCCATCCATTGGTGTGTTGGTTCATTCCAGTTGTAATTTAACTGGGTTTGAATGTGGTTCTGGTGCCCACATTACATCTGAGTTTAACACAAGTTATATGTTGTAAAGGTTTCAGAAATTGGTATCGGCAAAAAGCTAACACTCTGGCTCAGGAAGTTTTTCTTTAGTGGTGCCAAAGTCTGAAACAATGTTTTTATGCCTCACTTCACCTAATCTGTGTTCACCATAAGAACAAAGATAGCATTAAATCCACTGGTAGTGGAAAGAAAATAATCAGATTAAATCAATTTATTTCAGTCTAAACTTGTTTTGAAAGCTATTTTAAATGCACATGTTCAGGTTTAGCTTATTCGAGCCATTGTCAGTTTAACCAAGATATTAAACTCGTCCTGCCCACTTTATTTCTTTTATTAGTTTAAACCTCAATATAAACTTTTTTATTTTTAATATTACAAAAACAAAATGTCATGGTAAAATCCCAGCTGTCGCAATCAATATAACGGATAAATTGACAGTTTTCACCCAAATTTTCGAGCATTTTAAAGAGTTCAAAAAAGCTTTAAAACATATTTTATTGCGTATTATTTTTCTAAAGGAGACAACTGCATTTGGTCTAAAATTCCTTGGTCAAATTGACATATTTTATTGTAATTCCGTCCAGTTTATGTGCTTATCCAAACACACTGAAAACTTTGAGGTCTGCTGCAACAACAGTTTGAAGAAGCTTTATATTTTTACTTGTATAATACAAAAAAATGGGTTTATTTGGAAGGTCAAGCTGGTTTATTGCGATAAACGTGGTTGCAAAGGTGGCTTAAAAATAAAACTATTATTCAAAAGATAGCATAATAAAGTCTATTATATACAAAGTAATATAAGAATATAATAAAATGTATTGCCGTAACAGTATGGTCATTTCAGTCGAATGGTTCAGCAAACTTAAACACCTGGGACAGTTTTGGAAAGTTACTTTGGGTAAAGTTACTTTTTTTTTCTTTACAGTGCAAATGTGTGAGCAGCAGACAAACAATGATTATTGTACTCTAGGTTTCTTTAGCTTTAGCTCACCTGCAGGACCCCCCCCCCCCCCCACATTCTTGGCTCCCTGTACCAGAACTAAATCAGAAGTATTTCTTATTTGTTTGTTTGTTTGTTTTTGGCTAATTTGAACACAATATGAATACTATAGTTTGGCTTTGATGACTCTGCATAACTGATTATTATTCCCACACCTTTAAAAATACAAATAAAGTTACTTACATGTAGGAAAATCTATTGAATCATAATCCTGCTCCCAAGCCCATTGCACCTATAAATTTGTTTCTGTTGACATGAGACTCTCCAAGATTAGCCTCATTTTTATTATGCTTAGTCCCGCCCACCTACTATAAGAACCACATCTAATCCCAAATCACACCTTGTAGCATGCACACTGTCTAGTGTTTTTCTCCTTAAAGCATCAAAAAGATATTCCATCATGTAAAGGGCTTATAAGGAAATACAGTACAACCATTGTCATCCTCGCAGCCAGACATGTTAAAAAATGCTTGTGTTACTGTGGCTTGTAGACTTAGAGGGATTTTTTTTAACTCATAAAGCTTCACTTCTAAAGGCATTTTCTTAACTTTTAATTGGAAATTAGGAGCATAAATAATCACAGAGAAAGATTTGTGTCAGTGTTTGTACACCAAGCTGAGGAAAACTTGTAAATGTGTGATAAGAAAGGAATGGTATAACCTCAAGGGCTGCCTTTTCCCCCCTTTTTTATTTTGGGTTTCTATGATTAATATGAAAATTGTTGGATTGTATACCTGGATTATTGAGCATTGACTTTTTTTTTTTTTTTTGGTATGATTAATATGGTTTTAAAATCAGGAAGAGATACAGTTATTCCCATGCTTTGATGTGTTTATGATTTATTAATCCAGCATCTGATGTCAGAAATTGTTAATAAATTTATTTATTTTTTATTCAGTCCTAAAAAATTATATATATACATATTATATTATATGGGCCTTTTGTTTTACATTTGCTGTTTAGAACTTGCTCCACACTAAACTTCAATTTCACAGCTTTGCATGAAACAAAATCTCCTCATCCATCCACACCAGTCTTGAAAGACTGTTTCCAGTAACTGTAAAATGCTGCTATACCGATGGTCGCCAGTAGGGGGTGTTACATTTATCATTTCACTGCCATTACTGCTGCTGAAGGACTGTCACATTTACATGAATCAAACAATTGGAGTAAAAGGAAATCCTTTATCCATCAGTTCGACATGCTATCGACACACCAACGTGACCACCTAATGTATCTTTGGACAGGCAAGGATCTACTACACCAATTGTCACTGCATGAAATGTCATTGAAAAACATTATGCTGAAAATATATATTACTAGACCCCAAAAAAAATCTGAATTGACTTTAATGTATACTATGTTTGCCCCATCTTCAGCAAAAGGTTCTAAAAACTCCTACAAATGAGCAGGAATCGTAAAAAGTTCTAATAAGACTAAGTAAAAAAAACAAAAAAAACAGACAGTGACATAAAACTGGAAATGTGCCATATTGAATACAATACACAGAATTCAAGTTTATAACGCATTTTGTCAGTAAATAAATGGGCACAGGGCAAAACTAAATTGATTCTGTAGTAATTCACTCTAGCAATACCTCATGTTCTTATTTAAATCTCTTAAATAAGAGATGAATTTAACATGCGAGGGCCATTGTGAAGGAGAAGTCGTTTAGAAAGCATGTGAGTTTTACGCAGGCTGCATGAGGGCAAATGCTTATCTGTGTCACCCATTGCACACTTCGACATGCGTCTGCACCAAGAACATTTCATGTGCAAGACTTCTTTAAGACAAGAACAAAATAGATCGTAAACCTGTCATTTTATTTGTTTGGCTGACACAAGAATGCATACAACAATGACTCTGTAACTGCTCTATTTGGGGTTGTGTTGATACATTTCTTGCAGTGTTATATTGAAGGGAATACTCTTGTGGATTGTTTGTAGCAGCTAAGGTTATGATCTGTTATTTTCCATAATACAACTCACAAGAACTTGTTTTAGTTCTGCACATATAGACAAAAAATGCTTATTGCCTTCCATCTCCTGCCCATCCACAAGCATCCCCTGCTTTCACTTTCTGTTTGTGCAACTATTCTATCCAGTGGATCTATGCAGAAGCTCATCCCTTTGGTTAGTTTCAGTTGTAAATACGTGCCCAAGTGTGCCGAACGATGTTCCTTTCTCCTCGTGTCATTTGAGTTGACCTCATGCTGTCACTTTCTTCTTGTCCTCCTTCTTTTCTTCTTCTTAAGTTTCGATCATCTGGGATCACTGACGTTTGAAGAGAGTGTGATGAGGTTTAACCAACAGATACGCCCTCAGCTTCACAGCCTTACTGGTAAAGGCCGTGGTTCTGTGTGTGAAAGCAAAAGGTTTCTTTTACGGAGTTGAAAACTGTTCACATGCATATAGAAGTACCATTGCGATTATGATTCTTATTACTATTATACTACCAGTATATTGTAATATTATAGATGCTTTAGTTCAAGTAACTTCTTTAATTTTTTTACAAACAATTTTGATGAAATGATTTATAAAAGAGTCTCACGAGTCACGATCTTTATGATAACTACTGCGACAACGACTAAATTGTGTTCTGATGAAAATAAATACAAACATGATATTATTGATCTGTTTGTCTGTTGTGATTCTGCATGATGTCTCTTTGCTCTGACTGAAAAATTAAAGCCTATGTGGACACAAGGATACACAGCTGTGTATGGGAGGATGTGACCATCGCCGTTAAAACACATGGAATCAACAATCATTCGTGAGCGCAGGCGCTCATACCGTCTGTTTTAACCCTCCTAACATTCATGTTTCAGGACTGTGGGATAAAACCGGAGTACTCAGAGAAAACCCACACGTGCTCGAGGAGAATACTCAGTTCAATTCAAAGTTTATTTATATAGCACATTTTAAAACAACCACAGCTGACCAAAGCACTTCACAAGAATACACCATTAAAATATGGTAAACTAAATAAAATTGTTTAAAAGATAAAAGTATGATAAAAATTGCAGTAAAATACCAATAAAATAATATTAGTAATAAAAACCAAGACAGCTACTGCATATTTGCTGCAATTTCCCCCAAACTCGCGTCAGTCAGGTACTAATTTGAGTGAAGGCCAGGGAGAACAGATGTGTTTTCAGTCTGGATGTAAACTGATCTACCGACTGAGAGAGCTTCACAGACAGAGGGAGGCTGGTCCACAGTCTGGGTGTTGCCACAGAGAAGGCTCTGTCACCTCTAGTCTTCAGCCTCGCTTTAGTGACAGTCAACAACAGC